TAACTAATCGCCTTTGTCCAAATTTATAATAAATGAGGACATATGATTATTAAAGTCTAATGTTAATAATATCATGTTATAGGTGTATAGATACTTCTTCAACAAACATTTAGAAGATTTATATATTAAATTATTAATTATAAAGTTATGAGCCAAAATGTTATGAAAATTAAACTTACCATAAATCATTACAATTAATACGCACATTACAATTATTATTACAATCAAAGACACTATATGTATTATTAAACCAATAAGTGAGATCCTACGTCCTGAATCCGGTGTCTGATCGACAGTTTTGTTGTTTGTACTATTTGTTGAAACTATAGTTATGTTTTTTGTTAATTTTATGTTTTCGGTTATGACATCCGCTGTCTGATCGACAGTTTCGTTGTTTGTACTATTTATTGCACATATATTTATGTTATTTGTTAAGTCTATGTTTCCGGTTATGACATCCGCTGTCTGATCAACGGTTTCGTTATTTGTATTATTTATTGAAAATATACTTATATTTTTTTGTACATTCTATGTTTCCGGTGATGACATCTATGAAAATATCGACATTTCTTTTTTAATTATACAACATGTAAAGCCTAATTTTATTGGACATTTTTGATACATATCTGACAGATTTTTATTTTTTTTTTTCCTTTTAAATAATATTATGAATTGAGTGATTCAATCATGATATGATTAAAATTAATTTATGATGTCAAATTAATTTTTAAATTGAAGATATAACTTTGCTATATCTACTTTTTAATGTTGTGTTAAATGAAGACTTATGTCACATATTTATATATTTTACTGAATCATAAAAATTAAATAAGTATGAGTCAAGCTATAGATTTGATAGTTATTTAAATTTATTAATTTAAAGTTTCCATTACTATTTAATAATTTCCTTTGTTTTACATATTTACATTATTTCATTATATAAAATTAGTTAATATATGTTTCAATCTATGTTATTTTTTGATATTATGATTGAATATTTTAATTTTACATTTACACATTTATATATGTATTAGTTAATTTTATTTTTATTTTATATTGTAAATTATGATTGTTATTTCATACATGTATATATTGTTTAATTTTTTAAAGTTAAGTATAAATTGTAAAATTAAGTATATAATTGTCTTACCTGGGGTTACGAAAATTACGAAGGCAGTGATAGCAGTGAAAGCGGAACATTGTAGTTGCGTATTCATGATAATCATTATTTATCTTTTTCTTAATTAGAATTAATAAAATTTAACCGTATACTTATATTTCTTTTATTCACTTAGTCGTTTAGTTTATTCACTTTCAACACTTGTTGTAATATCTATAAATTAAGAACAATTAATTTTGATGTCTGAATAAGAAATGCGTTGATATTTTCTTAGTTTATATACGACGTGTAAAAACAGAGAAATACAAAAGGAAATCGAGATTGAGTTAAATATTTATTATTTAAGGATATAAGAGTGATCAGAAAATGTCAGAAGAAACAGAATATATTTAGTAGTAAAAATGAAAGAAAGAATTTCAAATTACAAATGAATACAAAACAACTAAAATTTAATAATATTTATTGTAAATTGAATTTCTCTTTGTTACTTTTGCTTGGCAAAATTGCAAAAAAACGTTAAAAATCATCTTAAATTTTTCATATAATAATTATTTAATTGAATTAATTGAGGGAGAGAGGAAGCATATATTTATTGTTAAAGTAACTTTCAAATAGCCATGCCACAAATTAATTTATGTATAATCACTAATATTATTACTGTTTTTTACATTCACATTATATAATTGTTATTAACGGTTAAACAGCAAAATAAAATTGAAAATATAATTTCAAAATCACAAAGCAATTATAATATGAGGACTTTTCTCGTATTTGCCAATATAATTTTGAAAGATTTAAGATTGCAATTTAAGTTAGCAATCGATTAGTGATTTTTATGAAAAAAATAGAATAGTATATTAAATTCAAATCAAATTTAAATTAATGACTATTAATTAAAAAATGAAAATTATGAAATATTTATAATTCTAATCTGAACGAAAATTTTGATCGTTTAGTTCTCATGGTATGTCTTTTTGAGGAAATCACGGAAACTATGCAAACAGTTTTACTGAATTTACATAGTACATAGTATTAATAATTATCTCACTACAATTATTTACATGTATTATAACAATGTATGTAAAGCCGTATATTATAAACACTTTTTACATAAATTCTTTTTAAATAATATTATTTTAGAACCTAATGTTTTCTGTCAAGGCGAATTTTAATATAAATAATTTTGTCATGCTTATTTTGTCAAATTATTCTTCTACGGAAATAAAAAATGTCATAGGTATAATATCAAAATATTTAAAACAAATATTACAATTGTAAAAATTAAAATATTTACGAACTACAGAATAAGTAATGATTTTTCGAGTTTTGTTAATATGTTATAAATCATAAGGTTTTGAATTCATATAATTTGATTTAAATACGTACAATATTATCAATAGAAAATAATGGCTTAACATTAAAAAAGTACTAATGAAGCATGATACAAAAATCATTATTAAATAGTTGAATTCTTACTTAGTTTTTACTTAATTATTAAATTCTTACTATTCTTTATCTTACCAAAGCGAAAATTTACCGCCTCTATGTCTTATGTATATGACAGATAATGTGATAATGACAACTAGATGTATTGAAGTCGAGAATGTTACTTCTGTTTGTCCATATCACCTTAGCCAATAAGAACGAATGCTATTTGTTGTCAGAATCCTACATAGAAGCTTTATTTTACAATATAATAAAATTTGCTTTTCAATTTTTTTAATTATATTTGCTCTTTGTTTCTCTTAGATAACAAATAAAGCAATAGAGAAAAATTAATATAAATTGATATATCTGAAAGTTGTCACAGAAAATATTAAAAGTCGATTTAACAAAAAATATCATATATGTATTGACATGTTTCCGTAAATTTTATTATATTTATATTTATTTATTTTTTAATATAATTCTAAATTAATATTTTTATTTTTGAAATTTCTTCTTCAGGTGTTGTTTCTATGATTTATAATTTAATATTAATTTATTCCCTTGATAAATAAAATTAATATTAAATTGACTACAGTTTAATAATTTAAATCTTTTCTGGGGAGCACATAGGAAAGGCAGTATGAAAATATAATGCATTTGACAATGTTGCGTTGCAAATTTGTCGTTTTGAGATGCGAAACTAATGAAATATTCATTTATATTTGACATACGACACATAAATGCAACCATACGTTAATTATTTACGAGATATGGTCTTAATTAAATAATGTATTTAACGACAGTTGAATATAATAATTTAAAAGAATCAACAATATGTGTAAATTTATGCACACGTATTAATGCGGAAATTAACACGCATAACAAAGGTAATCAGCTATTAAACAAAAATTTTTTATGTCATAAGACATGTATAGTTAAATAATTTTGTATATGTATTCGATCCATATGACATAAATATTAATTTACAATTAACAATAATATAATAATAGTATATACTTCTATTATTAGTAAAGATATTTGGATAACTTTTAAATAATCTAGTAATTTCAGAATATTGTCAATAAATATATTTATATTCGTATTGCAATCTATTACAATGGCAGTCAAAGTATATGAGCGACAGTAAAACTAATCATATAAGAAAATGTTGATTTTGTCAACTTATCTGAAGTTAATTTATGTTATCTTAAATTATCTTATGTTAACTTATCTTAAATGTAACATTTATATACATGTAAATTGTATGTATAATTTGTATGTTATATTATGTAATTCATTAATTCATATAAACATATAATATATGTATAATTTGTATTTCATAAATTATATATAGTTATACTATAATAATTTATATATAATTATACTTTATAGTTTATAAGAAATTAATAATGTTATCATTTATAACATACTTTAAATTTTAATTAATGAAATATGATTTATCGTTTTTAACTGAAGATTTAACATCACATTTGAAATTCGTTCTTATTGATTTACTATATGCAATATTATCTTTTTGTACTTATAAGAATTGTTAGAACTTATAATAAAAGAATTGCTTATAAAAAGTAGGCATTTGAAATATTTATATGTATTTTGATTTTACTTTTTGAGCAGATACATATTTATAAATATATTTATTTATGTCGTATGTTATCGATACTAAATAAATAAATATTTTATGTGACAAATTCTAAATTTCAAATTATAATATTAATGTATTTGTATCTTCAGTTAATTAAAATTTACATATAATTTATATGCATTTAGTTTGGTATTTAGTTATCACATATATAATTAAAAATAATAACGAAGAATGTATTGTTTATTTTTTGAATTCATTCACTTTGCAGGTTGTCATTTTAAATCGATACTATAGATTAGTTACTAACCGCTGTATGTATAATTTTTGTCCTCCCATTAATTAATTTATTGCTGTAAAAGACAAATTAATTATTGTAATTTTTAGATGTAATTTCTAACAATACGGAATTAAGGGTAATGAAATTCTGTAATTATCTATATAAAATTCTACTAGAAAATTAATTGTAAAGTTCACTTGTTACACAATGTTACTTTATATTACAATATTAAAATTGTGTATATTAAGTTATCGCAAGTATAAGTATCGCAATATGTCAAGTACATTTTGTACGTTTTTATGTCAAGTATAAAAAATTAATAAAGATTGATGTTATATTTAAGAATAAAAATAATATTACACGAATTTACAGTTTGTATGATTTGTAAAGGAGTAACGAATAATTAGAACTGATATCTTAGTAAGGATTATATGAAATCCAGTATTAAAAAAATCCAGATTAAAAAAATAAAGAGATAGAAACGTTTCAAAATTAATAACTAGAATTTCTAGAAAAGATTATTAATTTCTATGAAAAAATGTTTTTCGAAGTAGTATTATAATTGCGAACAATATGATTGCGTTTATATATTGCATATGCTATTTCTTACGTTCGATAATTTCTATTCCACCGTTTAAGTCATGTCTTACAGGAGGTTCAGGACGATTTCTTTGAAGATATCGACGCCAGTTTCTCAAACGATACATTGTATTTCTCCACCTATTACGGATTATGTTTATAATGTTGTCGAAACCTGCAAAAATATTACTATTATAAATATATATCTTTGCACATACGTGTACTAAATTTAACGAAGAAATTTTAATAATAATTATTAATCGCCTTTATCTAAATTTATAAATGAAGACATATCCCATTAAAGTCTAATGTTAGCAATATTATATTATAGATGTATATAGGTGCTTCTTCAACAAACATTCAGAAGATTTATATATCAAATTATTAATTATAAAGTTATGAACCAAAATGTTATGAAAATTAAACGTACCAATATATTTTATCCAAAATAGTATTATAAATATAATACAACCCACTACACCTATTATTAGAGTAATTATATATTTGCGCCAATGTTCTGAATCCGATGTCTCATGGACAGTTTTGTTGTTTGTACTATTTGATGAAACTGTACTTATATTTTTTGTTAATTCTATATTTCCGATTATGACATCCGCTGTCTGATCGATGGTTTCATTGTTTGTATTATTTATCGAAAATATATTTATATTTTTTGTTAATTCTATGTTTCCGGTGATGACATCTATGAAAATATCGACATTTCTTTTTTAATTATACGACATGTAAAGCCTAATTTTATTGGACATTTTTTGATACATATCTGACAAAAGATTTTCACTTTTTTTTTTTTAAATAATTTATTATGAACTGAGTGATTCAATCATGATATGATTAAATTTAATATGTTCAAATTAATTTCTGTTGTAGGTATCGCTTTGTTATATCTACTTTTTAATGTTGTGTTAAATGAAGACTCATGTCACACATTTATATATTTTATATATTATTATATACTGGACCATAAAGATTAAATAAGGATGAATCAAGCTATAGATTTGATAATTATTTAAATTTATTAATTTAGAGTTTCTATTATTATTTAATAATTTCCTTTGTTTCACATATTTGAATTATTTTATTATATAAAGTTAGTTGATCCATATGTTTCCATACATGTTTCAATCTATGTTAATTTTTTATATTATGACTGAATATTTTAATTTAATATTTTAATTTTACATTTGCACATTTATATATGTATTACTTAATTTTATTTTATATACTTGTAAATTATGATTGTTATTTCATATACATACATGTATATATTGTTTAATTTATTAAAGTTAAATATAAATTGTCTTACCTGGGATTACGAAAATTACGAAGGCAATGATAGCAGTGAAAGCGGAACATTGTAGTTGCGTATTCATGATAACCATTATTTATCTTTTTCTTAATTAGAATTAATAAAATTTAACCGTATATTTATATTTCTTTTATTCACTTAGTCGTTTAGTTTATTCATTTTCAACACTTGTTGCGATACCTATAAATTAAGAACAATTAATTTTGATGTCTAAATGAGAAATGCGTTGGTATTCTCTTAGTTTATATACGACGTATAAAAACAAAGAAATACAAAAGGAAATCTAGATTGAGTTAAATATTTATTAGTAAGGATATAAGAGTGACGAGAGAATGTCAGAAGAAACAGAATATATTTAGTAATACAATGAAAGAAAGAATTTCAAATTACAAATGAATATAAAACAAGTAAAATTTAATAATATTTATTGTAAATTGAATTTCTCTTTATTACTTTTGGCAAAATTGCAAAAAAAAAACATTAAAAATCATCTTAAATTTTTCATATAATAATTATTTAATTGAATTAATTGAGGGAGAGAGGAAGCATATATTTATTGTTAAAATAACTTTCAAAATAGTCATGCCACAAATTAATTTATGTATAATCACTAATATTATTACTTTTTTTTACATTCACATTATATAATTGTTATTAAACAACAAAATAAAATTGAAAATATAATTTCAAAATCACAAAGCAATTATAATATGAGGAATTTTCTCGTATTTGCCAATGTAATTTTGAATGATTTAAGATTGCAGTCGATTAATGATTTTTATGAAAAAAATAGAATAGTATATTAAATTCCAATCAAATTTAAACTAATGACTATTAAAAAATGAAAATAAAATTTATAATTCTTATGAAATTTATAATTCTAATCTGAACTAAAATTTTGATCGTTTAGTCCTCATAATATGTCTTTTTGAGGAAATCATGGAAACTATGCAAACAGTTTTACTGAATTTAGTACATAGTATTAATAATTTCATTACAATTATTTACATGTATTATAATAATATGTGTATGTAAAGCCCTATATTATAAACAGTTTTTACATAAATTCTTTTAAATAATATTACTTTACAGTCTAATGTTTTCTGTCAAGGCGAATTTTAATATAAATAGTTTTGTTATGCTCGTTTTGTCAAATTATTCTTCTACGGAAATAAAAAAATGTCATAGGTATAATATCAAAATATTTAAAACTAATATTAAATATTTAAAATATTACAATTGTTAAAATTAAAATACTTACGAATTACAGACTTTTTCGAAATACTTACGAAATACAGAATAAGTAACGATTTTTCGAATTGTGTTTAATATGTTATAAATCATAAGATTTTGAATTCATATAATTTGATTTAAATAACGTACAATATTATGAACAAAAAATAATGGCTTAACATTAAAAAAGTACTAATGAAGCATGATACAAAAATCATTATTAAATAGTTGAATTCTTACTTGGTTTTTACTTAATTATTAAATTCTTACTATTCTTTATCTTACCAAAGCAAAAATTTATTGTCTCTATGTCTTCTGCATATAGCAGATAATATGGTAATGACAGCTAGATGTATAGAAGTTGAGAACGTTATTTCTTTTTATTTGTCTATATCACATTAGCCAATACGAACAAATGCTATTTGTTGTCAGAATTCCACAGATCAATAAAACAGAATCATCTTTTTGTTAGAAGTTCCTTCTCCCTTTCACAAACAAGAAACTATTTAAGATAGCTTTACTTTTCAAAAGTATAAATTTCGCTTTTTAATTTCTTTAATTATATTTGCTCTTTGTTTCTCTTAAATCGGAAATAGGATGTTATTTGTTGTCAGAATTGTATGCAGTATCGTCTGTGTGCTAGAAGCACGTTTTCCATTATTTTACAAATAAGAATTATTTAAGATATAATTACTTTTCAATAATGTAAATTTTTTTACTGATACTTTTTAAATGTAACATATGTTTGTTAGAAATTCGAATTTCTTTTGGATAAAATGAAAAAGAGAAGGGGAAGTCTTCTGAATCGAATAAGTTTCTTTTCAACTTTTTAAATTATATTTGCTATTTATCTCTTTTTAGATCAGAAATAGAGAAAGCAATAAAGAAAATTTACAGATTTATCTAAAAGATAGATTTATCTAAAACTTTACATGAATAGAATTAGAAGCCAATTTAATTTTAAAAGCTATCATATATGTTTTAACATGTTTACGTACGTTTTATTATATATTTTTTATTTTATAATACACTTCTGAATTGATTTTATTCGAAATTCCTCCTTTAACTATGTATTGCTTCTTTGATTAAATAAAATTAAAATTAAATTGACTACACTTTAATAATTTAAATCTTTTCTATGATATTTATGGAGAGCATAGAAATGGTAAGACGAAAATATAATATGTGTTTGACAATGTTGCAAATTTATCCTTTTGAGATACAAAACTAATGAAATATTTATTTATATTTGACATACGACACATAAATGCATTCAACTATATATTAATTATTTGCGAGATATGTTCTTAATGCATTAATATAAATATTTAACGACAATGGAATATATTAATTTAAAAGAATCAACAATATGTGCAAATTTATGCATTAATGCGGAAATTAACACGCATAACAAATATACTCGAGATAATCAGCTATTAGACAAAGAATTTTTTTATATTATAAAAATATAGCTAAATAATTTTATGTGTATGTTAGATCCATTTGACATAAATATTAATTTACAGTTAACAGTAATTTAATATGTGGTTCTATTTTTAATTCAAGACAATTTTTGGATAATTTTTAAATAATCTTATGCTTTCAGAATTTCGACAATATATATATATATATTTATATTCGTATTACAATCCATTACAATGACTGTCAAAGCATATGAGCAACGATAAAACTAAATTACATAAAAAATGTTGAGTTTATAAACTTATTTTTAATATAATAGTTATAAATGTAAATAATTTATAAATATATAAATTATAATTTGTATATTATATTATGTAATTCATTAATTTATAAAAACATTTATATAATATATGTTTATAATTTGTATTTCATAAATTTATATATTTATAATTTATAAGAATTTAATAATATTATCATTTATAACATACTTTAAATTCTAATTAATATGATTTATCGTTTTTAACTGAAGATTTAATATTTGAATTTCGTTCTTATTGATTTATTATGTATAACATTATCTTTTTGTATTTATAAGAACTTATAATAAAAGAATTATTAGAACTTATAATAATATAATATTAAAAGAATTGTTTTCAAAAAGTAAGCATTTGAAATATGATATGTATTTTGATTGTACTTTTTGAGCAGTACATATTTATAAATACATTTATTTATGTTATCGATACTAAATAAATAAATATTTTATGTGACAAATTCTAAATTTCAAATATTGATGTACTTGTATCTTCAGTTAATAAAGTTTGAACTTTATATGTATTTAATTTGATACTTAGTTATCATATACATAATTAAAAATAATAACGAAGAATGTATTTTTTATATTTTGGATTCACTTTGCAGGTTGTCATTTTAAATCGATACTATAGATTAGTTAGTAACTAATCGCTGTATGTATAATTTTTGTCCTCTCATTAATTAATTTACTGCTGTAAAAGACAAATTAATTATTGTATTTTTTGAGATGTAATTTCTAACGATACGGAATTAAGAGTAATGAAATTTTGTAATTATCTATATAAAATTCTACTAAAAAAATTAGTCTACTTAATGTTACTTTATATTACAATATTAAAATTATGTATATTAAGTTATCACAAGTATAAGTATCGTAATATGCCAAGTACATTTTGTACGTTTTTATGTCAAGTATAAAAAATTAATAAAGATTTGATATTATATATTTTAGAATAAAAATAATATCACACGAATTTATAGGTTGTATGATTTGTAAAGGAGTAATGAATAATTAAAACTGATATCTTAGTAAGAATTATATGAAATCCAGTATTAAAAATATAAAGAAATAGAAACATTTTAACATTAAAATTAATAACTGAAATCTAGAAAGGATTATTAATTTCTACGAAAAAATGCTTTCGAAGTAGTGTTATAATTGCGAACAATATGATTGCGTTTATATATTGCATATGCTATTTCTTACTTACGGGTTCGATAATTTCTATTCCACCGTTTAAGTCATGTCTTACAGGAGGTTCAGGACGATTTCTTTGAAAATATTGACGCCAGTTTCTCAAACGATACATTGTATTTCTCCAGCCATTACGGATGTTGTTTATAATATTGTCGACACCTGCAAAAATACTATAAATATATATCTTTGCACATATGTGTATTAAATTTGACGAAGAAATTTTTTTTTAATAATAATTATTAATCGCCTTTGTCCAAATTTATAATAAATGAGGACATATGACTATTAAAGTTTAATGTTAGTAATATCATGTTATAGATGTATGTAGATGCTTCTTTAACAAACATTTAGAAGATTTATATATCAAATTATTAATTATAAAATTATGAGCTAAAATGTTATGAAAATTAAACTTACCATAAAGCATTATGCATATTATAATTATAAGTACAATCACACACCCTGTACCTATTATTACAATAAGTATAATATGTATGACTAAATGTTTTAAATCCAGTGTCTGATCGACAGGTTTGTTGTTTGTACTATTTGTTGAAACTATAGTTATGTTTTTTGTTAATTTTATGTTTCCGGTTATGACATCCGCTGTCTGATCGATAGTTTCGTTGTTTGTACTATTTATTGAAAATATACTTATGTTTTTTGTTAATTTCTATGTTTCCGGTTATGACATCCACTGTCTGATCGACGGTTTCGTTATTTGTATTATTTATTGAAAATATACTTATGTTTTTTGTTAATTCTATGTTTCCGGTGACATCTATGAAAATATCGACATTTCTTTTTTAATTATATGACATGTAAAGCCTAATTTTAATTGGACATTTTTTTATACATATCTGACGAAGATTTTTATTTTTTTTTCCTTTTAAATAATTTATTATGAACTGAGATTCAATCATGATATGATTAAAATTAATTTATGTTGTCAAATTAATTTTTAAATTGAAGGTATAACTTTGCTAAATCTATTTTTTAACGTTGTGTTAAATGAAGACTCATGTCACACATTTATATATTTTACTAGACCAAAAATTAAATGAGTCAAAATATAGATTTGATAGTTATTTAAATTTATTAATTTAGAATTTCCATTGCTATTTAATAATTTCCTTTCACATATTTACATTATTTCATATAAAGTTAGTTGATCCATTAATATGTTTCAATCTATGTTATTTTTTGATATTATGATTGAATATTTTAATTTTACATTTGCACATTTATATATGTATTACTTAATTTTATTTTTATTTTATATACTTGTAAATTATGATTGTTTCATACATGCATATATTGTTTAATTTATTAAAATTAAGTATAAATTGTCTTACCTGGGATTACGAAAATTACGAAGGCAATGATAGCAGTGAAAGCGGAACATTGTAGTTGCGTATTCATTATTTATCTTTTTCTTAACTAGAATTAATAAAATTTAACCGTATACTTATATTTCTTTTATTCACTTAGTCGTTTAGTTTATTCACTTTCAACACTTGTTGTAATATCTATAAATTAAGAACAATTAATTTTGATGTCTGAATAAAAAATGCGTTGGTATTCTCTTTATATACGACGTGTAAAAATAGAGAAATACAAAAGGAAATCGAGATTGAGTTAAATATTTATTATTTAAGGATATAAGAGTGACGAGAAAATGTCAGAAGGAACAGAATATATTTAGTAGTAAAATGAAAGAAAGAATTTCAAATTACAAATGAATACAAAACAACTAAAATTTAATAATATTTATTGTAAATTGAATTTCTCTTTGTTAGTTTTGCTTGGCAAAGTTGCAAAAAAAAACGTTAAAAATCATCTTAAATTTTTCATATAATAATTACTTAATTGAATTAATTGAGGGAGAGAGGAAGCATATATTTATTGTTAAAGTAACTTTCAAATAGCCATGCCACAAATTTATGTAAATTAATCACTAATATTATTACTGTTTTTTACATTCACTTTATATAATTGTTATTAACGATTAAACAGCAAAATAAAATTGAAAATATAATTTCAAAATCACAAAGCAATTATAATATGAGGACTTTTCTCGTATTTGCCAATATAATTTTGAATTTAAGATTGCAAT